CCGCCCTCCTCTTCTCACCCACACACATGCATCAACAGCATCTTGGAGATGTTGGAGTACCTGTGACACGGCGCAGTAATAGCTGCCTAGTGATTTATACTTTGTTCTGCTAATCGTCAGCAGCACCAGTGTCGGCCCCATTAGTGCTAAAGCTGCGGCTGATAAAGAGGAGGCTACTGATGAGGAGCAGCTGATGAAGAGGAGCGCTAGCACGTGATAGCATGTCAAACTGGTGTGTGAGCGTATGTGTGTGTGTGTAAAAACCCCTCACACACACACACACACACACGCTGACTCTCAGGTAAATGGTGGGCGACAGCCGCCTGTGCTGTAGCTCCTCCGGTGGTGGCGGCGGAGGCGGCGGAGGCGTGTTAATCCCAGCCCCTGAGAACAGAGTGAAGGCCTCATTAGTGCTGCGTCGTCAGCAGCACAATAAACATGTCAGTCACACTAACGCCTGCTGTCGCCACGGTAATGGTCTGGGATATAAGAGCTGAAGGCCGGGAGAGGAGGTCACTGTCAGCTGTGGATGACAACTGCAACAGAGGAGGAGGAGGAGGAGGAGAAAAGAAAGATCTCTACTGAGAAATGAATTAAAGCCCTGCAGAGGTCAGAGGTCACTGACCTTTCTGACAGAGAACGTTCTCTTTGGGCTGGTCGACCAAATAAAACCACTGAGACTGTGGTACTACTGAGGTACTACTGTAGTACTGCTGAGGTACTACTGAGGTACTACTGTGGTACTACTGTGGTACTACTGAGGTACTACTGAGGTACTACTGAGGTACTACTGAGGTACTACTGAGGTACTACTGAGGTACTACTGAGGTACTACTGAGGTACTACTGAGGTACTACTGAGGTACTACTGAGGTACTACTGAGGTACTACTGAGGTACTACTGAGGTACTACTGAGGTACTACTGAGGTACTACTGTAGTACTACTGAGGTACTACTGTAGTACTGCTGTGGTACGACTGAGGTACTACTGAGACTACTGTGGTACTACTGTGGTACTGCTGAGGTACTACTGTGGTACGACTGAGGTACTACTGTGTTACTATTGTGGTACTATTGAAGTACTACTGTGGTACTACTCTGGTACTGCTGAGGTACTACTGTAGTACTAGTGTGGTACTGTAGGAACCATCTAACTACTGTCTCTCTAGCCTGTTCCTCCTCCTCTTCCTCCCCCTCCTCTGAAGCCTTTCTCCTCCTGCGGTCTCTCCTCACGACTCCTTCTTTCATCCAGGCCAAATTTGCAACCCAGCAGTTACAGAGAGAAGACGACGCTTTTTTATATTTCTCTCCTGACGCTGCTGCTGCTGAATGAGAAAAAATGATGTTCACAGAGAGAGAGAGAGAGAGAGAGAGAGTGTGTGTGAGTGTGTGTGTGTGTGTGTGTGTGTGTGTGAGTTTTCATCCACAGTCCTCTGACACGATGAAGACGTTTCATTAAGTCTCTCTCTCTCTCTCTCCCTCCCTCCCTCGTCCTCCCACCTCCCTCAGTGCACGTATGCATGTGCACGTTCATACATACGTGTGTCATTAAATGTCACGTCAGCAGCTTGGCGTTCTTCTCCTGGAACAAAGTACAGTTTGAAACGTTTCAGTCTGAAAACCTTCAGCAGTTTTGACCTGATGTTTATTTCCTGACCTCATGACCTTCGTTCTAATGACTGACCTCTCGATGGTCTCTCTCTGACGCCCCCTGTCTGTGTGTCTTTGCAGTGCCGTCCTTCTGGGGTCTGGTCAACTCTGCGTGGAACATGTGCTCTGTGGGGAAACGCCAGTCTCCAGTCAACATCGAGACCAGTCACATGATCTTTGACCCCTTCCTCAAACCCATCAAGCTGAACACAGGGGGCAGAAAGGTAAGTAAATCTACTTCCTGTTTGCTGCAGTCGCTCTGATCAACCTGCTGCTGTGGGTTCTTCATGTTGTTGGTACTGAGACGGAACCCTGTCGTTGTTGTTGTTGTTGTCGTGGTTGTGAAGAACGTTTTGTTGTTGTTGTTGTTGTCGTTGTTGTGAAGAACGTTCCATGAGTTTGAACTTTTTTTTCTTCATGGAGAGAGGGGGGCGTTTGCTAAGGTTTGAAGACTTTTTTTTACCTTCACCTCCTCCTGCACCACCTCCTCCTCCAGGTGTAGGTCCGGGTCAATCTGACAGCAGCTAATTGGTTCTGGGACAGATGGGCTGTTGTTGTTGTTGTTGTCGTCGTTGTTGTTATGACTTTTATTGTGTGATTATGTCATGTTTCCATGTTAGCTAGCCGTGAGCGCAGGACCAGCCCTGAGTCCATGGAACACCTGGTACAGATGTTCTCCTGGTTGTTCTCATGTCATTAACACAGCGGCAGCTGCTGAGAACAGACACTGCTGTCAGTTATTAGAACTGACCTGGTTCTCACTCTCACACTGGATCGAAGTTTAGTAAAAAAAAAAAAAAAAGGAAAGAAAATACTGTAGTATGTTGGAGTGTAGGGGATAAATTCCCATGATGCTCTTTGATTTGTTATAATGACAGTAGCTCTGTTCTCCTGAGACACCTGTGGACATGGACGTCCTCTTCTTCCTTCTCCACATCCGCAAGTTACTGTCGTGGCTCGGGGTCAAGGGTCAAATCACAGGATGTGACGGTGGCTCTTTACCTATGTGCAGAGATGCTGTCAGTTGACCTTTGACCTCAGCGTTTGACCCATGTCCTCCTCACTCCCTCACTTCACGTTAACTCCTGGTTCTCACACGTTCATGTCGGTTCCGTCCACCCTGAGAGAATCTGCTGTAAGAGACGCTGACAGGAACAGTTACAGGAACGGTTCCGCCCGGTACCGTTGTTGTCTCCACCTGTCAGGGTGAGTGAGAGCTGAACTTCATTCATCTGGAGCTCAGTGAACCCTGGAGAAGTTCTACTACAACAGAACAGAACAGTCTTCTCCATCATGGTGTCTCTTCACCTGGTCAGATCATAAATTCACCCCCTCCTCCTCCTCCTCCTCTCCGGCTCTTTTATCTCCTCTCTGTCTCCTCCTGTGACGGCCTGGATTTAACGGCCTGTGTCTCCATCTCTGGGAGCAGCAGAGCTGTCAGCGCCTGAACAACGAGGCGGACCTCACCTTGTCACAGCTGATTCATCCTCACTCCGTCTCTGCCTGGTTGGCAGCCACTCAGCCTTGGCCAAACAGAACAAATAAAGGAGCTCCTGCCCGGTTCCCTCCTCACCCTGATCTCCCCCTCCTCCCCTCCCTCTGAGTGGAGACAAAGAGCTGCAGGCAGACGGAGCAGATTGGACCCTGGAAACGATCACATCTGCTGGAGTCTCTTTGTGCTGCTAATGAACAGTTAAAGAACTGGAACTGACCTCCGAAAAGACAGGAGTTAATGAGTCTCTGAGAGACGGGGGACATTCACTGAAGACACCAGCACCTCCTCACACCTGGTTCTGGCTCCACATGGTACTAGTTACTTCATGCTCTGACTCTGCAGGAACCAGGAAGGAGAACAATCTAGAATCTTTTTGTCCAGTCCATGTGAACCAATGAAAATGGTCTGAATCCCTTCATCTCTACAACTCTCTGTCCAATCAGCATGAAGAACACCACTAACTCCACCCACTGCTCCGTTGATTGACAGACATGTTTATGTCAGTGGGCCTCTGACATTTTCACGTTTTATTAAGAGAAACGCTGTAGATCTGATCAGACTTTGACCACAGTCTGTCCTGGAGTGAACCTCAACCCACTGATCCTCCTCCTCCTCCTCCTCCTCCTCCTCCTCTTCCTCCTCCTCCTGCTGCTGCTGCTGCACCTCTTCACAGAGATTCACTAATGACCTCACCAGGGAGGAGACTCTGTGGTCACATGTCACTACTTTCTCCTCCGTCTGTCAAAAAACTGAGCTGGTTCACAGAAGAAGAAGAAGAAGAAGAAGAAGAAGAAGACGTTTCTCTGCAGATTAAATTAGGAAGTGATTCAAGAGAAGAAGATCCTGAGGAGCTGGTGGAGGGTGATGAAGAAGATGAAGATGGTGATGAAGATGATGGTGATGGTGGTGATGATGATGATGGTG